TGCGGCTCGTTGAATAAGCGTTTTGTGTCACCATACCCAAACCGGTCGAAAAATTTGAACGTTTGTGGCATATAATTAAAGTCTAAAGGTAACTTACTCGGGAGGCACATAAAGCCGATGATTCAGTTGGTCTTGTGAAAGTGCTTCGATGTGAACATAAGTCCAATTTGTTGCATATTCAACGAAATTTCTCCATCAAGACGTAAACCGAGAGGATGAAAACCGATCAAATCAAAGCAAGACAATGGTTGCATTTCACTGCAGCAGAGAAGAGTTGCACACAACCAATATGAAGGATAGTCCGGGATGATTAACCGTTTTTCCTCACGCTGTCGTTTGAAAAATGATGGCTAAATTTAACGTGCAGCTGAGGCCACGTGATATAGAGCCGTTATTGAAGGCCCAACAAAGCAGAGCAAGTACTGATTTTACCAATAAATTCAAATCGCGTCGCCTGTCCATTTGGCAATGGGTTTATCTCACTGGTAGCCAACGAGTAATTCAGTATATGGTGCAAGCTGATCTACTGAGCTAGTTTTCTAATGAATTCCGTTTTACCTATCAAAAGAAAGAAATATTCATCCCGCCTGACGAGTTAGGACGGAAGTAAATAGTAAGTGCCCTGCTATTGATCTCCTGTACTCACCAAGCTGGATATCGTAAAATGTTTTGCAACGATAAGGGAGGCTTTCGGCAACTGCTACTTTTTAAATGCATTCACAGAAGTAATATTTCCCATAAATGAAGGTTGGTATATACTTTCGCTGGTGGTTGGTAGTAAAAAACGGCAAATTAAATATTATTTTCTTACATTCATGCAGTCTCTGGAGGGGTCAAGTTCAATGGCAAATTCGTTCAAATACCGCGCAGCAGCTGGGATTTTAATTAAATCTCAAACTTTTCCTGTATCAGAAACAGGGATAAGTCAGCTGCTGGTCGTCAATGGTTAGGATGAGGGGTGTATTAGAGGGAACTGGCAAATTCTGTTTGGCAGTCAACTTGGTGGACTCCATGCTAAAGTGACTGCCCCTAGTGCGCAAAATGGAACATGTACGAGACGAAAGCACAATAACTGTACGAAGTCTATGAGTCATTTTAATAAATAAATGTTAGTTACGTTTTCTACGGTGACTTTGTGATTTCACAGCTGATGCACAAGCAACAATCGTCAAAATCGCGAAACCGTACATTTTAATGGCATTTGGTTAACAGAGGCAAAAACATAAGTGGATATTATATCAGATATGTTGCGTCTGATGTGGGGCAATATCACATTCAACGCCGTGAATGAGCCTGGAAAAACGAAGCATTGAGAGGAACAAATGTGAAGAAAATCAGGATGATGCACGAGTTTGGTCAATACCTGTATACTGAGATCTATTGGCATGAATACGAATCTCTGAAAACGAACTCGTTTGCCACTCCGTTGCTGTGTCTGAAATGTGCTCTTTGGAACTACTGCGACAATTCCTGAGCGTTATGGGCTTCTTTTGACTCGACTGGATCTGTGTAAATAAGAGCAACTAGATAACCGTATTATCCCATTTTGGAAATAGGTAGTTTCTTCCTCCCAAGAAACTTCTAAAGAATAGTCTACCATATTCCAACCCATTGCTATTTTCCTGTCATTAGGCAAACACACGGCCGAAGAAAGAAACAGGAAATGCTTGTATCTCTACTAGCAAATTGCCCATGGTTACAACAGTTCAGCGAAATATGACTTCAGCACCGCTTCAGTCCAGAGATCGTGAGTTAGACCCATTTCAACACCACCTACATTCTCCATTCCCCACATGTTCACAGGTTCCGTGATGGAAATTTATTACTATACAGCTATCTATCCAATAACGGGAAGTAAAGATTGACTGGAATGTAGGTTTTACGCCTACAAAAGTTGCAATTACAATTGCTTATTATTATCAATAATTTGATCGGTTTTGTAAACCGGTAAACTGGAAACTTAACAAACAAACTCATAAAAACCACACAGGTGTTTCTGCATTTCTGTGCATTTGGGCGAGCTCAGCTTCCCTATGAGACATATCTTGAAGTGTGTGGGATGAAGAGACGGGAAGCAACCGGTTTAGACTGAAGCGAGCGCGAAAAAAGCTATTAGTGAATCCAATAAAAATGTGTGCTTCATCGACGGAACGGAGCAGTCGGTTGTGGTTGCCACTGTGTGTTTGTGTTACCATTGATGATCCCCAGTTACACCAAGAGGATATGGTTGAATTCAAATTAATCAAAAAGTTCTCGGGAGGTGAAGAAGAAAAATTTAATTGGGTACAACATTTGTTCTATCTCTCAAATGTTACGAATGAAGAGACAAATTAGTGAATTTTACCAGAGACAGAAAGAATATTGTTTGAATGTTCGCAAATCCCCGCGAGCCAAGACGGTATCAGCATCAGGGAGGAAAACGTCTCATGTTTAGTCCTCCTGGACGATTATTAAGCAGTTGATTTGGTGTATGCAACCCGGCCTGTTGAGCGATATTAGACAGATTTGGTAGCTGAGCGTTGGCCTGATTCCATGCGGCACTGGCGTTCCGTAGTACGTTGGAAATCAGAGACAGATTGATGCCTGCAGTCTGAAACAAAGGCAAACATTCATACTATCAACCATTACATCAGCGACATTCAGAGAAACATTCAATAGGCAGATATTAGCTAGATCACGGAGTTATCGTCGGAAAAGTGATTCTCATTTTACCGAGTTCTATCCAGCTAAACTAGCAAACAAGGTTTAAGCTAAAACCGAAAAGCTTGTTGGAAAGTGAAGGAGTAAATCTGTCATTCACAAATAAAGATACGGGGATTTACCCGAACTGAAATTACCTGAAGTGGACCACTAGATGTAGACACATTCTCTGGGCGAGATATTAAACCAGAAGCTTTCGACTGAGCCGTGAGTGCCGCTGCCAAGGCAGCTAGAGCCGAAGCGTTTCCAAAGGCCTGGTTCTGTTGTTGCTGCTGTTGTTGTTGTTGATGGTGGTGGTGCTGCGATCC